TCTACAGATTTGAATAACTTAATGCCACTAGGGGCGCATGGCATCGTGCCTTAAGGCAAATTGCTGGTACTTCCCGTACCAAAAATTATTTTTTGTGTACACATTTTGTGTAAATTTGTCTGGGTTCCGTACCAAGATTTTTACTTAAGATACGGGAAGTTTCAGCAATTTGCCTTAAGGCACGATCCCATGCAACCCACTATAGTTAAATTTTCAAATCCAGTTCAGAATTCATCTGCAAATTATAAAGATATAGCTCGGCTGATGGTCTTGCAAGACCATCGTTTTTGCTTAAGCGATGGAAAGAGAGACAAGAAGTTATTGAAATATATGTTGATCAGTTTTATGTGATGATCAGTTGAGTCTTTATAATAGATAATAAAATTAAAAATGATATGAACAATTTTGTACAAAAACCTGAATTCATTTAGATCAGTGATTCCCAAAGTGGTCCACGTGGATCCCCAGGAGTCCACGGCAACTTTCAAGGTGCCCACAGCGGCGAAAAGAAAATTTGCGGGCCCATTGCAGTGGATTGAAATACACCATCTAAACGATAATATAATATATAAATTTTTAATAAAACTTCTAATATAGCAGGCAATATTTCGAATTATACTCTGGCTGTTGAGAGGATTAATTTTGGCAAGATTTTTGCGCTTTTAGAGACAGTTTTAAAATTTATAGACACCAAATATAGGGGTTTAAATGACTGTTTAACGAAGTGTAATATAGATATCGCTTATTTTACTCTTGGATTTGATAAAAGTATACTTTGAATTGTAGTCCCCGCAGTAATAAGTTTAGTAACTAAATGTTAAATTGTACATAAGTAATTTTGTGCTTTGGTGGACAGTAAATTGCAAATATAGTTTAATTCTGAGTTGGTTATTGAAATGTTATCGGTTTGGTAGTGCTTAATAATGTTTCTGATTATTATATCAGTTCCACCTGTATTAATGTTGTACAAATCAAATTTGCTTAATTTAAGAGTCCAAGTTAGTAAAACGTATTTTCGAAAGAATATTAAAGGTCCAGATATTACGGAGATCCAAAGAAAATAAATCCATTTCCCCAAAAATTATCAATTTATATATGCGCATCAATTTATCAGATATTTTATAGAGATTTCAATTAAACGTACAAATGTCGGCATTTTCAGGGATTCCTTACCAAGATTTATTATGTTTAACCGTTAGACTACGCCGCGGTGCTTACGCGCTTCGATATTTTGCATCTGAAACAGCTACGCAGCTTTGAAAAAAAAAAACTTTAAAAATTCATTTTTGAAAAAAGTATTTTTTTTTCGGCCGGAGCGCCCGATTTTAATAATTCAAAAACATTTTACTTGTATTGACAAAATGAACAACTGGTAAAATTTTTGGGAAGGCAGGTCCAGCGGTTATGGACTCGCAATAAAAATAAGTTAATAAAATGTCATTTGGCGATCAAAAATGTTTATTGGACATACGCACAACAAATTATCAGATATTTTATAGAAATTTTAATATTGTGTACACATTTTTTGTAATTTTTTTTGAGTTCCGTAACAAGATTTTTAATTTGTAATTTTGAAGTTTTTTATATCGCGCAAACGAATGTACTCGACATTTTCGACAGTATGGAATATCTGATTTGTATGATTAAAAAATTCGTTTTTGCAAAAGGCAATTTTGCCGTTTCGGACGTGTGGAGCGCAAAGGGTGTAAAAACGGTTAAGCAGTTTTTGAGAGAACGGATTATCCGATTAGATTAATTCAAAAAACATTTTGCTTAAGTAGATGGTATGCAAAAAATGCATTTACAGGAATTTTGGGAATTTTGAAAATTTTCAAAAAAAAATCGAAGATTTCAAAAAAATTCTAAGTTTCAAAAAATTCAAATGTTCGAAATTTTTCTTCATTTTTAAAAAGAAAACTAAATTTTGAAAAATTTAAAAAAAATTGATTTCTTACAAATATTTGAGAGTATTTCGAAAATTAAAAAAAAAATCGAATATTTTAGTTTCCATATTTTCAAAATATATATTTAAAAAAACGTTTTTTTTTTTAATCCAAAAAAATTTTAAACTTCTAAAAAAATTTTAAAATTCTGAAAAAAAAATTCTGAATTATCTAAAAAAATCTAAATTATGAAAAAAATCAAATTAAAAAAAATGGATTTTTGTAAACGTACACATAAGTTGTTTATAAAATACGCTCATCGCCCAATTTGAAAAGCACTTTAAAATTTACAGTTTGTATTTATAATAAATAATCCATTTGAAAATCTTTAAAATAATTATTATCGATTATTTTTATTCCTCGAATGTTTAATTATGGTACGGGAAGTTCCAGCAATTTGCATTAAGGCACGATGCCATGCGTCCCACTAGTTTGTTATATAGTTCGCTAATAATTTAAAGGCTTATTAATATGATTTATAATGACTAATTGATAGAAAATTGCAGTAAACAAATTATCGACATGAGTATAATATAAAACCAACGAGTGTTATCAAGCGTAGTCAGTGTGCGAAAGACGTTTGTGCGGTGCACGTCGCGTTTCTTAACAACGGAAAAAACACGCGCATCGAAAGATAAAAATTATTATTATAACATTTTTAAAGTCATCACTATTTTAATCTCTACATTTTGATAGAGCAATAAATTTATTTATTATAAGTTCAAAAAATATGATTGTTCAAAACATTCACGGTTAATCAAACTTATTGGTTTTCAGTTTGATATAAAAAGAAAGTTATAGGTACGAAATAGAAAGTGTTGTGCAATAATATCATAAGCGATTTCATAAAAAGAATTCAAATGAAGGAGCCCAATCCAAAGGTCGGTATCTTATAAGTGAACTATAAAATATGCATTATTTGTATATATTTTTTTATAGTGTGGAAACATTTTTATTTTATTCAAAATAATTCTGAACTTGGCATATGGAATTCAATACATTTTTTAAAGATTTGACCGTATGGATCATCAAATCTTCAATGCAATTTTATTTTTGTATCTGCTTACAGCTCCATGTGTTCTTCTAAAGTGTTTTGCAATATTGGCTTTTTGATAATCCTTTATAAATATAGCATTTAAAATTCTATTAAATGATTTTTGAAGTTCGACAAAAAACAGCTGATATTTTCTATAATCAAAATTTAAAATGGAATCTTTAAAATTTGAAATGGAATGGATTTGGTCCCAAATCTGGTAACTAGTATTAGTAATAATTAAGATTTAACTGATAGTTAGTACCAGTAATATTAAATCTTTTTATTACCAGTAATATTATAAATCTCAATTTGAAATTCTTAAAGTTTTGGATAACAACTAGTGGTGTATGGCATTGTGCGTTAAGGCAAGTTGCTGAAACTTCTCGTACCGAATTAAACCTTTGAGGAATAAAAATAAATAAAGTTTGATCAATGATTTAAAACAATTGTTTCAAATATTTTTAGATCAATATTATAAATACTGTAAATTTTATCTCATATTTGGGTGATGAGTCATCACTGATGACCATTATATATATTTACAAAAAATAATGTTTTTTGAATCATTAAAATCGGACGCTCCGTTTTCTCAAAAACCGAATAAATACTTTTTTAACTTTTTGACCTGTATTTTCAAAACGACTGGAGCTGCCTTTGCAAAAAGCTTATCGGCACTTCTCCTAGTAAATAGAAATCGAATGTTTTTTAAATCATTCAAATCGGTTGATCGTGGACAAAAATTTTTATCCATACACGCATACTTACTACGAAACACACATACATCCATTTTTTATAAGGTTTGGCAAAATGTTCAGAAGATTTTGAAACGTAAAGATATGAAAAAAATTTTATTTTCTATTTTTTGCGATTACTCTAACTTACCCTGCGGTAAATTTAAAACAAGACTAGTATGTATGGCATCGTGCCTTAAGGCAAATTGCTGGAACTTTCCGTACCGTAACGAAATATTTGAGGAATGTTAAATGTTTTTAAATAGATCATTATTAATACTATAACTTTCATTATTCAAATTTTATAGACAAAATATAAGAGCTTATGAATTGAGCAAGGACGTTGATATATGTAATACAGAAAAGTAAATAAACAAAATTATCAAATATGAATTATATAAACTCAATTGCAAAGTTAAAATTATTTATTTGAAGTATATAAGTGAGCTTTAGAACTGTAGCCAGAATTAAAATTAAAATCCGAATTATTTTCAAAAAAAAAAAAATTAATTTTTTACTTAAAAAAATCCCAAAAGCAATTGTTTCGCCAATGCAAGCAGAAATTTTTGTGAATCATTGAAATCGGATTTACCAAAAACAAATCAACAATTCTCCCCATCATTACGAACTGAATGCTTTTTGAATCATCCAAATCGGATGCTCTGTTCTCTCAAAAACTCAATTTCCATTTACTGTACTCTTTGCTTTTCATCTCCGAAACGGCTGGACATGTATTTGCCAAAAACTAATCAGCACATCTCCCTATCAATAAAAATCGAATATTTTTTACATCTTTCAAATCGGTTGATCCGTGCGCTTGAAAACGTGGACATAAAATTGCATCCATACATACGCGCGCACACACACACACGAACACATAAAACCATTTTTTTCTAATAAATGCAAAAATTAATTAATTTCAATTTCGATTTTTGGACGATTACAATAACTCATCCTACGAGAAGTTTATAATTAAATTAACAAATAAAACAAATATTGTTGCTTGTTTATTAAAATTTACTTTTTTCTAAATTAAAATATCATTTAAAAAAATTACTGTTAAATTAGTAAGTCAACACTTGCCTCGCTTGCAATATTTAACATATTAATATATATTAGATAAATTAGTTTCAACTTGCAAAACGTATTCGCTTATTGTTAGTTTACATGCAGTATTTAATTTTTGCTTATTGCCATTTTATATTTAGTTTTTATTGTCTTTTTACTCTTATAATATTTTTTTCATTTTCGCATATATCAAAATTTACTTTAGGTATGCGAAAATATTTGCTGTCTGAAATATCAGAGAATAATGAATTTATTTAACATTTTTATTTATTCATTTTTTTTTTGAACAACAGTCAGGCTTAGGTGTGTTCCATAAGTTGTTGCAAACAATCCTTATTTTTATAGAATTCACGAATTATTGTAGGTTTATTATTTTTAAAAAGCAACCTTATTAATTAAAATGTTTCTTGAACGTTATTAGAAGGCAATATAATGGTCGTCCTTACTAATTGCAATAAAAAGCTATTTTTACTTGAAATTATATTTAGATCAATATTTTTAACTTCCCGTAGGTTAAGTTATTGTAATCGTCCAAAAATCGAAATTGAAAATTTTTACATTTCTTCACGTTTTGAAGGTTTGTATGGATACAATTTTTTGTCCACGTTTTCGGGCGCACGGATCAACCGATTTGAATGGTTCAAAAAACATTCGATTCCTATTGATAGGGAGATGTACTGATTAGTTTTTGACAACGGCAGGTCCAGCCCTTTCGGAGATACGGAGCAAAGAAGGTAGAAAATAGAAATCGAGTTTTTGAGAGATCGGAGCATCGGATTCGAATGATCCAAAAAACATTCAATTCGTAATGACGGGGAGAAGTGGTGATTAGTTTTTGCCAAAGGCAGGTCCAGCGATTTCGGAGATATAGAGCTAAATGTGCAAAAAATGACAGTTTTTGAGAGAACTAAGCGTCTGATTTGAATGATTTAAAGAACTTTCTGCTTGTTTTAACAAAATAATTGCTTTTGGAAAAAAATGTTTCTTTTTTTTTTCTATTTTTTTTTTTTTGAATATTTTTTTGTATATCGAAAATAATTCAGATTTTAATTGTAATTCTGACTTAAGTTCTAATATACTTTAAACAAATGTTTTCAACTTTGCAGTTCAGTTTATATAATTTTTATAAATATGAGATATCCTCGAACATTTCGTTACGGTACGGGACGTTCCAGCAATAAGTTTACAAATTATATCGCTGACATCAGGTTGTTCGAGGCGGGAATTGAACATGAAACCTTATGGAGGCAAGTCCATAACTTTTGCGCAAAAATCCACTTATTCGAAGTTAGAAAGTATTTTAAAGCCCGATTTTTCAAACACTAAGTCAGACATTTATACTGTATGATTGTGTGTTTAAATCAACATAGTAATCATGAATTTTATCTATTTGAATATCTTAATTCTTGTATTCTTGTTTAAAATTTCATTCGTGATATTTCCGTGACTCAGATGTTGATCAAAGTACATACTAATCGCATTGTTTAGTTGTTGTTTGGACTAAAGTTTACATAGATACAATTATGAATCAGATGTCACATATTTTTTGCCAACTATCGTCATTTAATAAGCGCGTCATAATTCTTCGCAGAGAAGTTTTTTTTCATATCCACTTCATATTAATTTAATTAGCATTGAGATCGATCTAGTAATATGTTTCTGAACCGTTTTGCAGCCGCTCACCTTGCATGGAAAGTACTTTACATTAATAGATTATAGGGAATTGAGATAATTGGCTTATGCTTTTATATAAATGATGCTATCTATAATAAAAAGTCTATTTATTATTAGTAGACATTTGATCGACACCAATTTTGTGAGGTGCAAGAGATATCAATTATAGTTTGTATGCAAAGTTTACTACAACGTTTATTATTCAGAGTTGATTTGATAGATTTTGCGATTACTATAACTTACCCTACGGAAAGTAAAAATAATCGAAATGAAAATTTTTATATATCTTTACGTTTCAAAGTTTTCTCAACATTTTGGCAAACTTTAGGAAAAATGGACGTATGTGTGTTCGGATACAAATTTTTGTCGACGATTTCGGGAACACGCTTCAACCGATTTGCATGATTCAAAAAACATTTGACTCCTATTGATAAGGAAACATGCTGATTAGTTTTTGGCAGAGGCAGGTCCAGCCGTTTCGAAAATACGGGGCAAAAAAGCCAAAAATGGTAATTCAGTTTTTGAGGGAACAGAGTGTTCGATTTCTATAATTCAGAAAACATTTTATTTGTATTGACGAAATGAAGAACTGATTTTTGGGAAGATAGGTCTAGCGGTTTCGGAGATCCAATAAAAAAAGTGAAAAAATATGCCATTTGGCGGATTAGATTATCACATATTTTATAGATATTTTAATAATAAAAACAAATTTTGTTTACTTTCCTATGCGCTTCGTACCAATGTTTATCCGTAATACTGCGACGAGTCGCCCACGCGCTTCTATATATTTCGGTTCTACGCAGCAGTATTGCGATTGCTTTGATAAAAGGTTCAAAATTTCCAAAATATTTCAATGTATAAAAAAAATTTCAAAAAGGTAAATTTATTCAAAAATGTTAAAAATCTCAAAAATTGAATTTTTTCGGAGTTCTAAAATAAAATTGAATCTTAAAAAAAAAAATTGGTAGAAGAAGTTTCAACAATTTGCGGGCACGATACCATGCCCCACTAGTTTGATATTAATATTACCAATAACGCTGGCAAAATATATAATAAGTAAAGTGAACATTTAATTATTTCTCGAATATTTCCACCAGAAGACCTTGCACTACGTAAAGAAGGTTGACTGCTCCAGATCAAGATAAATTAAATGAAATCTTTTCGGTCAGGGTTACACGTGTTTCTAATAGAATGAACAATTTTGACTAAAATTAGTAAAATATGTTATATTTTAGATATAATATCCTAATACTTATTGAAATAATTAAAAATATATAGTTGTACATATAGTACAGGGTGTCCCAGAACACAACGTCAAACGGAAACGAGGTGATAGTATTGATTATAACTATCACGACACAAATTAACTCAT